ATTTTTTTTATGATCGTTTGGTGTGTGCCTATGGACAAGTAGTAGAAGAACATGCTTATTTGAGGTTTCAATTATGGGTCTGTCTAAGGCCCAGTTCTTTTGAGCAGATTGTGGAGAATTTTGGTCTGGAAAATCTGAAGCCAAAAGAACTCGTTTTGACTTCCAAAATCTGGAGAGGATTCTCTAGAATCCTAGTGCAATCCAAAAGCACCCAAAAAGCTTGATTTTCCCAGAATGCTGAGATTCTGGCAAGTCCCACCAGTAAAAACGTTTCAAAATAGAAGAATACCCCTATCCCATTGCGAAATTACAGCAGGAATGCCCCTGCCCATCCACGCGCTGGAACAGAGGAAGCGAGCGAGCGGCCGCTCGAGCCCTGTTCGCATCGAGGAAAAAAGAAGCCCCCAAACGCAGCGACGGCTAGGGTTGCCGCGCCGCCGCCGGACCAACCTCGCCGGCCAGGCCCTTGCCGCCGCCGCCCGCCTGGCCCTTGCCGCCGCCGACCAGGTTCCCGCCGCCGCCGCCCGCCTTATCTCCCTCCGTCGCCCCTCTTCCTTCGCTGCTCGTCCTCCCCTTCGTCGTGTCTCCGCCAACATCGACAGCCACCGGAGCTGCACCTCGACGACCGCCGACGACCACCGGTGCTGCACCTCGACGGCAACAAGCAGCCCCACGCGAGGTGCAGACCACACCCACGGTGAGGCATCCTCTTTCCCCATCTCTCTGTTCTTGCTATGGATAGCTAGATTGATTTATGTTGCATAGGTAGATGGATTGATGCTTGGATTGATTGCTGATGCTGTTAGATGGATAGATGGTGCTAATTTTTTGCACCCAGATTGCTGATGCTGTTAGATGGATGGATGGATTTGTTAGATAGATGGATGGATGGATTGATTGTTGAATACAGCTTGTTTGCCTATTTACAAAAATGAATGGATGGATTATCTTTTTTTAGTTCATCCACTTTTGTAATGAACAAATCTTTAAATCCATTCTAAATGTAATATTTAGCACTTTTTATGACATTCGGAAATCACTTTCGTACTCATATTCGACTAGATATTGTTAGAAACAACAAGGTGTTAATAAATTCATCAAACATTTTCTGTCTAAGGGTACTACAGACATTTCAACACACAACTCTTTCCAGAATCTCAACCTACAATCCCAGAAAAGAACTCGGCAACAGATTCTGGGAGAAGCAGATTCTGGGAGAATTTTCCAAAATCTTGATTCTGCAGAATCCTGTGTGAAAAGAACTGGGCCTAAGACACATCTAGATGTGACATAGTTATGTCACATCTAAGCTGATGTCCACTATGTTTGTATTTTTTTTCTTGTTATAGTATTTTTTTTTTGTTTTTTGTTGCTACATTATATATTTGTGGGAGTTTAGATGTGACATCCTTA